CCCGACCTCATCTGGAGACCTCCGAGGGCTTCCTGTGTGACTGGCGTGGTCTCGTGTGGTCCTCCCTCGACGATGAGGCAACATGCTCAGAGAGGTGGCGTGACCTCCTTGGGGTCACACAACCAGCAGTGGCCAGGGCTCAGGGCAGAAAGGGGAAATCAACGGTCAGGAAGGGGTTGGGGCGGGGGAGGAAGACAGAGTCACATTGAAAGTGAGGCCCTGTCCCTTCCTCATTTCTGTCCGGCCACCTGGGTGCCAGCTCCTGGGACCCAAGGGCACCCGAGGCAGAAGGAGCCCAGGCCAGGACAAAAGCAGCTGCCAGAGTAACCTAAACCCCCCTCAAGTTGGCAGAGCTCTGACCTCAGCAAAGCCCAGGAACAGAGAGGTTAGGTCACTTCCTGAGGTCACAGAGCAGCAAGTGGCGGATCTGGGAGGTGAGCTGAGGTGGCACAGGCTCCAAGATGGGTGAGCCTGACGTCGCTTTCCACACAAGAAGCTAAGTTGGCCACGGGGCTTTTCATGAACCCAAGGACACCAATGTCACTCAGAGCTGGCTTCCAGCTCCAGCTCTGCCATGAGCCAGCTGGGCGTCCCTGGGTAAATTGCGTCCTCTCTGAGTCTCAATTTCCTCAGCTGTAAAATGGGGCTCTGCCCATCCCAAGCAGTAGGAAAGCAGTTCCACCATCAAAATGAACATCAGGTCTCACATCTGTAATCTGAGTATTTTGGGAGGCCAAGGCAGGAGGATCACTTTAGCTCAGGAATTTGAGACCAGCTTGGGCAATACAGTGACATCCCTATCGCTGTCTCTGCAAAAAAAATTTTTTTTAATGCGCTGGGTGTGGTGATGCACACCTGTAGTCCCAACTACTTGGGAGGCTGAGGCAGGAGGATCACTTGAGCCCAGGAGTTCGAGGCTGCTGTGAGCTATGATCACACCACTGTACTCCAGCCTGGGAGACAGACTCTGTCTCTAAAAATAATAAATAAAAATTAAAAGTAAACATCAAGCAATAGATGCTGGTTTTAAAGTAAACACTCAAGGTTGTGCTGAAGACTGCCCAAAACCTCCCAGCAAGGCAGGCATTACCTTATCCCCACTGTGCAGATGAGGAAACTGAGGCCAAAGGAGTAAGGGAACTTATTGGAAGCTGGGATTTGAACCTGGGCAGCTGGGCTCCAGCCCCAGTTTTTAAGCATTAAATCAGAAAAGCAAAAAAAAGTTGACGGCTCCTGGCGCTCAGTCAATGCTCATAAATATTTCACTGCTGAAAAGGTATCATTCTTTGCCCAAATGCAAGTCTAGCTTTGCACCCAATACCTTCCACCCACCCACCTGGCACAAAGGGGCTCTCCATGGGTGGCCAGGGGATGAGCTGGAAGAAAGCATGCCCCGGAATGCGCTCGGGGACAAGGGGAGCTGATACAGGCTGAGGGAGAAGAGCCTGGCTTCAGAGCCCCGTCCACGTCCCTTGGATCATCCTTGCAAAGTGGGACGAGAATCCCTTGGACAGAGCAGGAAATGGAAGTCCAGCAAGGCCAGGTGATTTCCCAGATTTCACAGACAGGCCTGTCTGTGCAATTCAGGTTTTTTGTTTGTTTTGAGACAGGGTCTCTCACTCTGGAGTGCAGTGACGCAATCCCAGCTCACTGCAACCTCTGACTCCTGGGCTTAAGCGATCCTCCCACCTCAGCCTCTCAAGTAGCTGGCACTACAGGTGCATGCTACCATATTCGGCTAAATTTTGTATTTTTTCTAGAGACGGGGTTTCACCATGTTGTCCAGGCTGGTCTCAAACTCCCAGGCTCAAGCGATCCACCCGCCTTGGCCCCGCAGAGTGTTGAGATTATAGCCACTGCGATTACCCGGGGAATTCAGGTTCCTATCTCTGTACTGTAGAGTATCTCCCCCATAAGCCCAGGCACCCCAGCGAGGGTCCAGACAAATGGGGACGGGCCACCTTACAGGTGAAGGGATGGATGTGCAATCAGACAAATGGGATTCAGGTCCCAGCTCTGCCCTTCTCAGCTGAGAGAACCTAGACAAGCGACTTACCCTCCAGACCTCATTCTGCCCTCTGAAAAAGGGGACAACCATAGTTTTGGATCCAAATGTGCTGAGACTGCTTGGCTCACTGCTTGGCCCACAGCAAGCACTCAGTAAAGGCTTGCCACGGTCACAATTGTCAGTGCAACCCAGGGTTGGCTAAAGCCAGACAGAACCTTGTACCCAGAGTTCAGAACAGCAGCCACAAGTTATCTCAAGAGATCTGACTTAATCTTTAACAGGTGAATTCTGCTCCAAATTGGTGATGTGGAGCATTCCAGAGGGCCCACTGGCATGAAATAAATGTTCTCTTGGCTCCCCGGATGCTATCTGTGACAACAACGGGAGCTGTTACTGGGGTCCCTATAACCTGGAGAACAGACTGGCATGTCTTTCCCAAAGTCAAGTGGGGGAAACTGAGGCAGACAGCAGGGTCAAGGGCCTGTGTGGGGTAGAGACACCCACTTCATGTGGACCCCATCCCCCTAGGAATAGAGGAAGGAACTCAAAGGACTTTGACCATCTCAGAAGTATTTGTTCAGACAACCATGCCATCAACACTGGCTGAGCACCTACTATGTGCCAGGCACAGGAGGCTAAGTCTTGAGTGTTTCCGTCCCGCGTACATCTCCTTCCAGCTGCCCCTCTCCACTCGGAGCTTGAACGATTTCCCCAGCCTTGGCACCAGCCTTTCCCTCTAGGATCCTCCAGTCTTTCCCACTCTGCAGCCAGAGGGGCCTTTCTAGAACACACGAACAACCATGTCACTCCCAGCCAGGACCTCTGGGCCTCTGCACCTGGCTTAGCCCCTGCCTGTCTAATCCCTCACCCTTTCGGTCACGTCATAAACTCCAGACAAACAGAACGGTATCTCTGCTCTGTAATCCCAGGGGCAGCCCCCCCCCCCCCCCCCCCCCCCCCCGGTAAAAGTCAGGTCTCTAGCACCATTCTCTGCCTGAATACCCTTTCTTCTACTTCTGCATTTATTCTTCAAGGTGCGGCTCAAACACCGCCTTGACCCAGCCCTCGTGGGTCCTTCCTGGTCCTCCTACCCTCTGGCGTTCTCCCCTGACCTCCATTCATTCCACAGCATACATTCGGCCATGCTCCCCTTGCTAGATGCCCAGTCAGGTGTGGGAGCTCCTCCCTGGGGGCCACAGCTGCACCAGGGGAAATCCTTCTTCCCTGCACAGGCTAGAGCGAGGCTGGGATTTGAGGCATCTCAGTGCTCCAGTGCCAGCCCAGAGCTGGCACAGGTGAGCTTGCAGAGAACATTTGCTGGAGAAGAGAGTAAGTGGCAGGGGCCGGCTGGCACCAGATGAGGCAGGAGGAACCTCCACAGCCCCTGCCCCAGATATACGGTGTCTGGGTTTCACCTGGGGAATCCCATCCTCACCAGAGCGCATGTGAAGCCTCCCTCCTGGGGCATCACACCCTTCTTGTTCAGGCAACCATTCCCGGGCTACCTCCATTCCAGACAGCCCCACCTTGGTCTTACAAAGTGAGCTATGACTGCCATTTGCCATTTGTGTCTGGGGCCCCTTCCCCCTGCAATCCACCAGTTAAGGTGGGTCCCCAGCCTTTCTGGTTCCCACCGTTCTTCAGACAGAATGAACTAGAGAAACGTGGAAATGGCCAATTGACTTTTTTCACCCTTTGTTAGGAAAATGTCTGGGGCAGCAACAACTGTTGAAACAATGATGGCAGCCAACGGTGGCTGTGCCAGGTTCCTCCAAGGGCATTGGTCCTTACAGCAGCCCGGGGGCAGTATTACAGAGGAGAGGACACAGAGGCTCAGACTGCTAAGCGACTAGCACAAGGTCACACAGCAGGGGACTGCAGAGCACACACCCCCAGCCCCACACAGGCCTGCTCTCCGCCTCGCAGATGACCCAGGCTGACCTTTCTACCCATGCTCCCCAAAAAGCCCACCCTCACCCTCCTCAGGAGCCAGTCCCGAGTTACCCCCTTGCCCAGAGCCAAAGTGGCAAAGCTTAAATCCTCAAGCAGGTCTTAGCATCCCAGAACAAAGCTCCCACAGGGTATCTGCCCAGCATTTCAGGGGTTCACGGCCCCCCTGCCTGCAGCAGAGGCCTTTGTTTTAGCAGCTGAGCCCGAACAGTCATAGGCCGCTTCTGCTCTGTCACTTCCCAAGCACCCCGTGGGTACCAGGTCCTGTGTGCAGAGCTGGCCCCAGAACAGGTCACCTGGCATGGTAGGGGAGGGCTTTGACGCCGGGCAGCCCCTAGTTTAAATCCCAATTGGCTAGATCCCCGACCTAAGCCTCAGTGTCCCCATCTGCAAAACAGAGAGCACAGACAGAGGGGACAGCTGGGGCAGGCTAGGGCAGGGGTGGCTGGATGAACGTGTCTGTGGTTGGTATTTCCAGGCAAGTGGGGAGTGCGGGGGTCTGTCTCTCTCCCTCTGCCCAGGGCCTTCCTGAGAGTCCAGGGCAGAACTACAGGTTAAAGAGTTTCATGCTTCTAGGAGGAAACAGCCATCTCTCTGGGACTCAGTAACCAAGAAGCAGCCTTTGGAAGCTCCAGACTCCAAATTTCCTCCGACATGCTCAGAGGCCAAGAGCAAACCTTAGGCCCCCCCCAAATCCCTCTTCCAAGTCCCCTCAGGTAGGCTGCAGGGCTCCGGGCCTTTGGTTCCCTGGCTTGGGGTCTCAGGGAACCAGACCGCCCTCCCCGGACCAGCTACACCAGGACCAGCGTTGGTGCCCATTTCACAGGTGATAAAACCGAGGCCCAAAGAGCCGGTGTCCGGCCCCAGGGCACTTAGCGGAGAGGCCGGCGCCCGCAGAACCTCTAGCCTCCCGCCTCGCGCACCCCCGGCCCGCGCTTCGGAGCCTCGGAACCCCAAGGAACCGGACGGGCCACAGAGACGCCCCCAGGGGCGCGAGGGGCCCTCGGCTGGGCCGCCCCTCCTGGGCCCCGGCGCCACTCACCTAAGGGTCGGCTGGGCGCCGGCGGCCGGGAGCTCCGTGCTTCCTGAAACCCGGCCGGACCGCCCGGCGCCCGTCCGCCCGCGGGTCCCTCCTCCGCCGGCTCAGGTTCCAGCCGCGCGCCGCCCCCGGCCTGCTCCCCGCCCACCCGCCGGCCCGCGGACCCTGCCGAGGGCAGGCCCTGGAAGGGGCGGTCCCTGCTCGCACCCCGCCCGCCAAGCCAGGGCCGCCCCTGCGGGGGAGGTGCGGGGCCGCGGCCTCAGTTTCCTCGCTTGGGAAATGGGCGTCGCGATCGTTGCATGGAGCGGCAGGAGGTCGTTGGGGGGAACTCTGCTTGGAATCGGCTCCCATTCGCTCTTGCTCCGGGATTTCCGGCGCCCTGGGACGGTGTCCTCGTCTGTTAATGGGCGTCGGGGCCGGGTCCTCCACCCGTTTGCTCATTCATTCATTTAGCAGACAGTTCGCTCCGTTTGCTCCTACCCTCGGGTATGGCCCATAGAGCTGGTGCAGGGGTAAATCAATGTGAGCTGTTCTCCTCGGGCTTCACCCAGTGCTCACCACGGAGCCAGGCTCCGAGGAGGCCATTAATATGTTTTGTTGCTGTTGTTTTTGAGACAGGGTCTCACTGTGTTGCCCAGGCTGGGGTGCAGTGGCGAGCATGACTCACTGCAGCCTCCACCACCAAAGGTAAAGCAATCCTCCCGTATCAGCCTCCCTAGTAACTGGGACCACAGGCGCCCACTACCATGCTTGGCTAATTTTATTTAATTTTTTGTAGCGATACGGTCTCACTATGTTGCCACAGCTGGTCTCAAACTGCAGGGCTCAAGTGATCCACCCGCCTCAGCCTCCCAAAGTGCTGGGTCACCGTACCTAGCTCAATGTGTTGTTTGTTTGTTTGTTTGTTTTATTTTTGAGATGCAGTTTCACTTTTGTTGCCCAGGCTGGAGTGCAAAGGCATGATCTCGGCTCCTGGGTTCAAGCGATTCTCCTGCCTCTGCCTCCTGAGTAGCTAGGATTACAGGCATTCACCACCACGCCTGGCTAATTTTGTATGTTTTAGGGGAGACGGGGTTTTTCCACGTTGGTCAGGCTTGCCTCGAACTCCTAACCTCTGTTGATCCGCCCACCCAGGCCTCCCAAAGTGCTGGGATTACAGGCAGGAGCCACCGGACCTGGCCATTTATTTATTATTATTCTTTTTCACACATATTCTCCCTCCGTCACCCAGGTTGGAATGTGGTGGCACAATCACAGCTCACCACAGCCTCAAACTCCTGGCCTCAGGTGATCCTCCCACCTCAGCCTTCTGAGTAGCTGGGAGTACACGCACATGCCACCACACCCCACTAATTTTTACTTTTTTGTAGAATAGGGGAGGTAGGAGAGGGGAGAGGAGTCTCACTATGTTGTGCAGGCTGGTCTTGAACTCTTGGCCTCAAATGATCCTCCCACTTCAATCTCCCAAAGCACTGAGACCACAGGCATAAGCCACCACACCCACCATGGTTTTTTGGGTTTTTTTGGTCAGATAACAAAGGTAAGCCCCAACACATAGCCATACCCTCTACCCAATGCTGAGTCCACTTGGAATACCTCCACAGGATGGGCAGCTCACTTACTCCAGGGTGGCTGGAAAGCCCATAGTGAGCCCACAGCTTGGCTCTGTGACTCACTAACCCGGCAGCCCTGTGCAAGTCCCTTCACATTTGTGCCTCAGTGCCTCCACATCCCCCTGTAGAGTGGGGTGTACAGAAGTCCTCACCTCACTGTCCCAGTGAAGATGCTGGGAGCACTGGGGCTCCTGGCTGTGCAGAGCCTTTTGTTGTTGTTGTTGTTGTTGTTGGAGTCTCACTCTGTCACCTAGGCTGGAGTGCAGCGGTGTGATCCTGGCTCACTGCAACCTCTGTCTCCTGAGTTCAAGCAATTCTCCTGCCTCAGCCTCCTGCATAGCTAGGATTACAGGTGCTCGCCACCACACCTGGCTAATTTTTTGTATTTTTAGTACAGACGAGGTTTCACCATGTTGGCCAGGCTGGTCTCAAAATCCTGATCTCAGATGATCCTCCCACCCTGACCTCCCAAACTGCTGGGATTACAGGTGTGAGCCACTAGGCACCTGGCTTTTTTTTTTTTTTTTGAGACAGAATCTCACTCTGTCTCCCAGGCTGGAGTGCAGTGATTGGCTCACTGCAACCTCCCTCTCCTGACTGCAAGCAATTCTCCTGCCTCAGCCTCCCAAGTAGCAAGGATTACAGGCACCTGCCACCACACCCAGCTAACTTTTGTATTTTTAGTAGAGACGGGGTTTCACCATGTTGGCCAGGCTGGTCTCGAACTCCTGACCTCAGGTAATCCTCCCACCTTGACCTCCCCAAATGCTGGGATTACAGGCATGAGTTACCACACCCGGCCATCAACCAGTAGTCTTTTTTTTTTTTTTTTTTTGAGACAGAGTTTCGCTCTTGTTACCCAGGCTGGAGTGCAATGGCGCGATCTCAGCTCACCGCAACCTTCGCCTCCTGGGTTCAGGTAATTCTCCTGCCTCAGCCTCCTGAGTAGCTGGGATTACAGGCACGCGCCACCATGCCCAGCTAATTTTTTGTATTTTTAGTAGAGACGAGGTTTCACCATTTTGACCAGGATGGTCTCGATCTCTTGACCTCGTGACCCACCTGCCTCAGCCTCCCAAAGTGCTGGGATTACAGGCTTGAGCCACCACACCCAGCCTCTCAACCAGTATTTTTAAAGCACCTACTAAATGCCAGGTGCTAGACCTGTGGTCATGAACATGTTCTCTTGCTTCATGGACACTGATACCCATTTTTCGGGTGAGGGCACAGAGAGAGGGAGGCTGTTGCCCACAGCTCCCACCACAGCTCTTTCTCCCACCAGTGCCAGGGCAGGGTTTGAACCCAGGTGTCTGGTGCAAAGGCCAAGCTCCAGCTGCCTCCTAGCCCAAGACGAGTCACTTCCCTGCATGGGGGCCTCCGTTGCCCCATCTATGAAATGGGAATCAGGAAAGAGTTGGGTTAGCAACACTGATGCTGAGAGCTCAGGCCCCTTCCCTCTGAGCTTAGAGAGGAGGTTGCCATGCTCGGCCCCATCTCCTGCAGTTCCAGTCCCCAGTAGCAGCCTCCTGTGGCCAGAATCACCCTTGCCATTTTCTTTGAATTTGAGACAGGTCTTTCTGCAGAAATGGGCCCCAGACTCACTCCTCTCACTCCTCTACTCTCAACCTGGCCCAGCCCCAGCCCCAGCCCTGAGGGCCCCCAGCAGATAGCTGTCTATCAGGGAGGTGTGAGGGGGCCTGTGTTTACCTTCCTCTCTACTGCCAGACAGCTGCCTGTTTACTCCGGACTCTCAAAGGGTTCTCTTCCCCACCCTACCCCCACCACGGAGGGAGCAGCTTTTGGAGAGGCCACACTCCTCTCCAAGCCTCAGTTTCCCATTTGCAAAATGGGTACAGCAAACCCTACCTCACAGCCTGTTGCAAGCAAAGTTTACTTGGCAATACTCCTCCCCCTCACCCCCCCATGCTTCTACGCTCAGTGAGTTAATTATTGGCGTTTGTTTCTTTGAAAATGTTTCACACTGGTGGTAAACACATCACTCCTATTCAGGGGTTCACACACACACATTCTCTCTCTGGCTCTCTCGCTCTCTCTCTCTCTATCTCTCTCTATCTCCAGCAATTGTAAACTTTCACTTTCCAGCTGCTGAACCTCAGGGGAGAGGCTGCTGTTTGCAAACTGAGGAAGGATCTACCCACAGTCTCTGAGTTGGCTCCATTTAGTGAAAACACTAATGATGGGCCGGGCAGGGTGACTCACGCCTGTAATCCCAGCACTTTGGGAGGCCAAGGCAGGCGGAACACCTGAGGTCAGGAGTTCGAGACCATCCTGGCCAACATGGTGAAACCCTGTCTTTACGAAAAGTACAAAAATTAGCCATGCGTGGTGGTGGACACCTGTAATCCCAGCTACTCAAGAGGCTGAGGCAGGAGAATCTATCGAACCCGGAAGGGAGAGGCAGAGTTTGCAATGAGCTGAGATCAAGCCACTACACTCCAACCTGAGCAACAAGAGTGAGACTCCATCTCAAAAAAAGAAAGAAAGAGAGAGAGAGAGAAAGAAAACACTAATGATGAAAATGAAAATGGCATGGCTGTAGGCCAGGTGCAGTGGCTCACACCTGTAATCCCAACACTTTGGGAGGCCAAGGTAGGAGGATCACCTGATGTCAGGAGTTCAAGACCAGCCTGGCCAACATCATGAAACCTCCTCTCTACTAAAAATCCAAAAATTACCCAGGTGTGGTGGCAGGCACCTGCAATCCCAGCTACTTGGGAGGCTGAGGCAAGAGAATTACTTGAACCTGGGAGAGGGAGGTTGCGGTGAGCCAAGATCGAGCCACTGCACTCGAGCCTGGGCAACAGAGTGAGACTCCGTATAAAAAAAAAAAAAAAAAAAAAAAAGTTGGGCTGTCAGGGTGGTTCACATCTGTAATCCCAGCACTTTGGGAGGCCAAGGCAGGTAGATCACCTGAGGTCAGGAGTTCGAGACCAGTCTGACCAATATGGTGAAACTCCCTCTCTACTTAAAAAAAAAAAAAAAAAAATAGCCAGGCGTGGTGGTGGGTGCCTGTAGTCCTAGCTACTCGGGAAGCTGATGCAGGAGAATTGCTTGAACCCAGGAAGCAGAGGTTGCAAGATTTCACCACTATACTCCAGCCGAGGGTACAGGGAGGGACTCCGTCTCAAAAAAAAAAAAATACTGGTTGATGGAGCTGGGAGACAGAAGAGTGGGAGGTTGCTGTTTTTTTGGGCATAACGTTTCAGTTTTGCAAGATGCAAAGAGTTCTAGAGATGAGTAACGGCGATGGTCACATAACAATATGTATGTACTTTTTAAGTTTAATTTTTCATCTTTTTTTTTTAAAGAGACAGGGTATTGCTCTGTAGCCCAGGCTGCAGTGCAATTGCCTGATCACAGCTCACTGCAACCTCAGATTCCTAGGCTCACGCGATCCTCCCTCCTCAGCCTTCTGAATAGCTGGGACGATAGGCTCGTGCCACCAAGCCTGGCTTTTTAAATTTTATTTTTTGTAGAGGTGGCGTCTCCCTATGCTGCCCAAGCTGGTCTCAAACTCCTGTGCTCAAGTGATCCTC